TTAACTCAGACATACAGTGCTCAAGAAAATATGAAAAGTGTGAACTGAACCGTTCAAGGCTGAGGCAGAATGAGATGGAGTCTGGATCGTCTCAGGCTGGGATTTTCACTTTCCTAGTGTTTAGTGATAAGTGGATGGTCTCATCGGTGGAAATGTGTCATTTATTTCAATTGAAACCAAGGCACTCTAAATCCTTACCCTTTCATGCAAGGAAGATCAAGCAAAATTGCCACTAATAACTAATTTATGTTTATTCTTCCTTCTCTCCTTTTCATGAAATGGGTTGCTAAGCAGATGTGGGTTGTTGCTATCCACTGCTTTGTGAAAGAGAGAAATCAGCACTTTTTAGTTATTCATAGTGCATGTGTTGCAGAGATCTCCTCAGAACTGGTTTATTTTCCCAATAAACTGTTGATAAACAGCAACACAGACTGACATACAGTAATGCAGGGTTATCCTCCTGTTTGAATCTGATGCACCAGGGCACATTGTTTTTAGGTATACAATTGCATCTTTAGTACAGAAAAACTAACCCTGTCAATATGGTAACTAATTATTGGTACTTCCCTTTCAATAATATTTGATCCTTTTTTTCCCCAGGGTGCTGTTTGCAATTGAACAGTGATTCTCTTGCAATTTATTCTTGTTGAAAGAAAGCATGGCAAGCACATTACACAGGCATCATTCTGCCTAACAGGTCACTTTCAAAAGAGAGCATTTTACTGACAATTTATTGCTTCCCATTTTTTTGGGTCTGCCTATAGAATCATTCATGAAGTGCTGTCTTCTTATCTCTGCGTTATGATTGTAGTTCGGAATTTGTTTAGTATTCTTTTGAAACCTCAATCTTGGGGTGACCAGATGTGTCTCTAGCTTGTAGTTCCCCGGTCTGCTAATCCTGTCCAGCAGTTCTGATAAACTTTTCGTTGTCGTATTCCTAGAGAATCGACAGCTGCCTCAGTTGTTAACATCTTAACAGGTAATCAATATGTAACAAGGTTAAGTTTCGATCTTTGATGGTTCTGATCACCTTAGTAAATGACAGTTCAAGCCTTGGATACTGGTAATCTTTGTGAATCCCTGAAGGCATCATCATAGCCACTACTTCATGCATGTCATTGAAAAGCCTACTGTTTTTCTGGTAATCCATATGAATGAAATGTTACACGGCAGTGTAGTTAAAAATACATTATAGAGGGGAAACATTACAGCTCTTTTCACCTAATGATATTGGATCACAGAACCTGAGCAGATCTGGGAACGAGTTGTTTTAAAGAAAAAAACAGATCTTTGCAATCCTGTGGCACTATTGGAAAGAATAGGGGTATTAACCCTGGTGTCCCTGCCTAGATTCCCCTCCAGATCTCCCCTTTAATTCGTTTGCCGTAATAATTTCTCGTTCCTCCACCTGACAGGCTCTCTAGTGGGGCTCCTGGTGTGTAGGGGTTACATACGTCTCCATTCCTGTGCATATAATGTGCTTTTAGATCCTCCGAAATGCGAAAGGCTATCTAAATGCAAGAATATATCAATTTCTTATACCTGTACATGGGGTTCAATCAGTCAGTTAAATCGAGGTACTGATCCCATGGCCATTGGAAGAGTATTGTAGGTTTGTTAAGTTGGGTGTCCTGGGTTCATTCCACTCTGGGCTTGCACAAGCTGGCCTACCTTTACAGTAGTTCACCCCTATTTAAAACCTGGAGGAAATATCATACTCTCCCACCTGAAGTGCTGCGCAGTAGCACTACTGGTGCAGAATAGCAGCTGTGTGTCACCAAGGTGAGGCTGCTGGTGGAGAATCGCAGCTGTACAGTATGTCACCCAGCTGAGGCTGTTGGTGCAGAATGGCAGCTGTATGTCACCCAGGTGGCTGTAGTTCAGTGGGGGACGACATGGGTCTCCTTCTATATATAAAGCACTTTGGGATGTAAAGCACCAAATAAATGCACTTAACCAAGGACATTTTTGAGCAGTACAGTTTGGGCACATATATTTAACACTTGATATTTAAGGCATGCGAAAACAGTCCCGTAACAACAGGCTACTTGTCCAGTGTAGTAATTGTTAATTATTTTAACACTTACAGTACATGGACTGTTACGCTAGAGGCAGAACAGCTTCCAGTTTTGTAGTGTGGGATAGGTAAGGATAAACTAGACAACTGGTCGACTAGTTAGAAATGTAACCCACACAAAACCCATACAGTACATGTCCGCCCTGTTTGCTTTGAAAGCAGTTCCCTGATGCATCAATGTCTTATGTAACACCTATCATCAAATTTTATTTTTAGAAATAAAGCAGAGAATTCAAGTCGCATACAGTTACATAAGCTTTGCTCCGCTTCGGTTGGAACGGAGCCCCTTCTGACGAATCCAGGCAGTGCTCTTCCCTGGCTAGAGTGCCAGCACCCCAGACCACGAAACCCCGTCTGTTCCAAATGAGCCCTACAGCGTGTTCTCACACGGTAAAGGAACTGTGTCTTTTACAGCTGTTTCAATCGGATTTTGTGGGTTTTTCAATTCAGTGTCACTCTCCAAAACACGGAGATCTGGAGTTGGATCCCGCCCGATTAGACTTCAGCACCTGGAATAGGGTTTCTGTATACTGTATAGTAGATGAGCCCTCCCACCCCTCCCATAAACTCTTTGCCCTCCTACCCTCTGGGGAAAGATATCGCAGTGTACGGGCCAGCTCCACCAGACTCTGGAACAGCTTCTTCCCACAGGCTGTCAGGCTCCTCAACACCCTGGAATCTACCTGCACCCAGCCCAATTCCAGAAACAGGGTATAAATCCCCCAGTGTGTTGTGTATATTGTGTAATGTATTTGCCTTGTAATTTGCACTATCTGCACTCTGCACTATGTGGACCCTGTCTACAATGTCTGAGCCAGTGTCCTGTCTGTATCTGCACCGTGGGCCAGGAGGAACGATATGTCGTTCCACTGTATACTTGCATATGGCTGGAATGACAAATAAACTTGAACATGAACTGTAGCGTTCACACTGCAGTGTAGCGATGGCATCATGCTGGTTTGGTGGCCGCTGTCCTCCTGTGATGTACCTGAGCTTGCCGCTTGCAGAGCTCATGTTTGGCGTCTTCAGAGACTTTGATGCGTTCAGGCAATAGGACTCTCTCCGTCCCCTCCAGGTGCGTTCTGTGCCCCTTTTCATTTTGTATTATGTGCCCCTTTTCATTTTGTATTAGCACACGTAAATCACCAGTGCAATTGTTTGTGTTGCTCCACACTTCTTCACTTGTGTCCTCCTGGGTGGTCAACGTCCAACTTTGCTTCATCACTACAGGGGACAGGGCTCCACAGTAGCATGCTGTTACTTTTAACCTCCCCATTTTGCAAAGGTGTTGGCATATAAAATAGCTGTAAAATATGAATCTCTGTTCTCAAGGTAAACGCATTTTGCCAATGTTGTATAAAGTGGCATTTGTTGCATTTTCAATAATGTCTGTTTTCCTTATTTTGAGATTTAGGATTTTAGTAAAAATTCTCATTGCTTAAACTGATAGGGAAAATAATACATATTGAAATGATAATTGTGGTTCTTTTCCGTCTGTACTATGTATGTAAAGTTAAAAGAAATGAAGCACTAAATTATTCTCTGAGTCACATTGTTGTGTGCTGAATCTGTGACTTGTAATTTTAATTGCTCAAGGATAATTAAATGAATGAAATACAGTAGACTCAAGCTAAACGGCAAGCTCACATTTTTTTTTAGTATGTAACCCATAGTGGCAGCATTTAAAAAAAAACAATTTGATTTGATCACTAACGCTAATGCTATGCAGAAGTATTTTTCAGAATTGTTTAACACTTTTAAAAAACCACAGATTTGAGGACCAGTTCAGAATAAGACTGCTGTCCCTTCTGATTTCGGTAGTGTTCTAGATCTGTATTTTACATAAGCTCTGCACTGGTGTACTTTTATGTAACAGACTAAACCAACGGTTTTGGCAAATGTGCAAATAAATTGTTTTAGAAGGTTTGAAAGATTTTCGAACAGGGGCAAGGTACAGTAGGTGTTGTGCATGTCCCTTCTGTTCAAATCATTTTCCCCGTGTAGGAGAACAGAGATATGCAGAAACCAGTCTTCTCCCCCTGCATGCCAGCACTGCCTGGGGGAGTCAGTATGTTCACAGCACAAAGGGTCTTGTGGATGAGTTCTCTCACTTTGGGTCTTTAGTAGAAGAGAAAAGTTGAAATTCCTTTTTTTTTTTTTTTGCTATTCTTAGGACACGAAGAAAACAGTTCATCCTTCTAACCAGCCTGTCTGATTGAATTTATCTTTATGTGGGAGCTGTAATGATTTGTTTTAGCCTGTAGTTATTTCTGCTCGATGTACAATTGGATTGGCAGGTCAGAGTCAGTGTCAAAGCCCAAGAAAAGAAAGCCAGGTGTGAGCTTTTAAATCCCACACTGACCCCGTTTTGTCATTTCTTTTCTTTCCTCCCTGGATATGAGGTAACCGGTAGTGTGGGTCTTGTTTTAAAATAGGTGTCCGGCTGTGAAGAAACAGCAGTGTTGATGAATATCCATGTGTGCGAGTGGAGTGGCTGGTATTTCAGCTTCTTTAAAAGTCTTGGGTAGAGTCTTGAGAAGAGCATTAAGGTCTCGGCTGCTCTGGAAAACACACAAATAAGTGCGCAAGATGTCTGGTATCTTTCTAAATTTTAACTGATATGAAAAATGAAAGAATCTAATCATTGACAAATCTCTGAGCTTCTGTTATCCTCAGTGGCAGTCTGTATTTCACTAAAGGTCGCAATGGAGCAAGATCTGGATATAACTGGGGTCATGTCTTTTGCAGAAGGTAGAATTGTCGGCCTTCTTTCTGATTTTGCAGTGTTGTGCTGACCTGTAACTGCGTGTGGAAGGTAAGAGCAGTTTGCCCCCCTCCCCCCAGTGCTGGCACTTTTAATGGTGAGAGCTGGGGAAGACGTTCTCCTCGAGCTCAGATCTGTTCACCTCCCTTTCCTTCGCAGGATGGGTGCTTCCGACAACTTGTCCAGGGGCAGGAGCACCTTCATGGAGGAGCTGTCCGAGGCCTCGGAGATCCTGCAGAGAGCCACGTCTCGGTCCCTGGTCATCCTGGACGAGCTGGGGCGCGGCACCAGCACGCACGACGGCACCGCCATCGCCTACGCCACCCTGGACTACTTCATCAGAGAAGTGAGCACTCAGACAGGGGGCACAGGAGGGCACAGACAGAGGGCACACTGCGCGAGTGTGGAACACGCTGCCCAGCACATTCAACACAAGGCACAGGAGGGCACAGACAGAGGGCACACTGCGCGAGTGTGGAACACGCTGCCCAGCACATTCAACACCAGGCACAGGAGGCACTTGATGCAAAGGACTGTGGGAGTCTGGAACAAGCTACTCAGCCATGTTGTTTCTTCCGGTAGCCCTGTTTCTTTCAAGATCAGTGACCATGGATCAATCAGCTAGTGATTACCAAATGAGTTAGATGAGCCGAATGGCCACCTCTCGTTTGAACCTCCTAAGAACCTGTCTTAAGATTTGCCTTGACTCTGTTCGGCCACTTTGAGCGTCTCCGGGCAGTCCATCACAGAGCCCCCAAGATTTATCTGTTAGATGCAAATTGCTCTGTCCTTCAAACCTATCGAAATGTTCCCCACATGTCTGTAGCTCGGTCCTGTTGCTGATGTGATCTTGACAAATTACATCATTAAAGCTAGACTGTGGCCATTTGCAGTTATATCCTGACAGATCCTTCACTGATCTAATCTAATCTAATCGTTTCCTCACGCCGGCCTCATCCCTAGTTCATTCTCTTCCTTTTGCAGGAAGGAGAAGCAAAATGCGAAGCAAGAAATACACTTCATCGTGGCCGAATTGACAGTTGCTTGCAAAGATTTGCTTGCTGAGTCGAAATATTAATGAATCAATGAAGGCAAAGAGACCACCTTGCCGTGCACAGCTCGAGAATAGCAAGCCCACATCCAGAGGGCTTGACCCCAGCAGGGAATGAATCCTGAATCAGTGGTGTTAGTTGAGGGACCAGCAAACGGTACTTGTGTGCAATAACAATGTCATTCAGATGGTTACAGTCATTTGTTTTATGGACATAAAAGAGCCCAGGAGATATGCTGATATTCCTCTCAAGGAGGTTCTGAAGTAGAGGCTCATTATAGACTAAATAATTATGTGCAGTCAAAAAAATGTCAGAAATTTCTTTATGGAACAGTATGCGCATGAAGTAAAGGATATATGAAGTGTTTGCCTTTCAGCTCCTGCAATTTAATCAAAGGGAGTGAAATGAGGATTTCCTGAACCCTTTTCAGACTTGCTCAGTGGGTGAAAACACTGCACACGTATGAAGTGCATTATGCAAGCGTGGTGCACTCAATCCATCTGCATGAGAAAGTGATCTGAGCACCTGGGTTTCAAGCAGGTATTACTTGTATAACAAGTTCATGTTTCCTACAACTCTGTTTTTATTGATGATAAATGTTCGGTTGCTTTTACTTAATTTTACTTCATTTGTCTTTTTAGACTTATTTGTTAATTAAAAACAAGCCAGGGTAAAGGAAGGGGAGGGAAGTTCAGGACTACATTAAACAGCTGGAAAACCATGCAAACATAGTTGCACAGAGCATGCAAATATGCAGTATGCTGAGTTCATATTCATATATTCATAGAGTTTTGAAGCTGGGAACCAGTCCAGTTTAGATCTGTAAATAGTGGCCATGCATCAGTGTTACTGAAATGTATAACTTTCACCTGTGACAAGATGGGACATTTTATTATTATTATTATTATTATTATTATTATTATTATTAATGTTAATGTTGTCCTATTGATGAAAGTGCAGAGTCCCCTTTGCACTTTCAAAGGTGTACTCAGAAGACATGACCTTTCCTGACCTCCGTCTGTATGTGGTGCTGGCAGTGGCACTGGGGCAATGTCATTGTCCAGCTCTGACCCATATTTCATATTTCGCTTCTTTGTATCCAGAGTTCATCAGACACCCTTAAGAACATAAGGAAGGTACAAACCATTCGGCCTATTTGTCCTGTTTGGTAGTAATTAATGGATCAAAGTCTCTTGAAGGAAACCAGGGTGTCGGCTTCAACTCTTCCCACAACTCTTTGTGCAAAGAACTGACCCTATTCTCACCTTTAAATGCACATAGTATCCTTGTTTCCTCTAGTTCACTTTCACTGTTCATTCTGAAGATCTCCCTCTCGGCTGACTTTGTCAAAGACTTTTGGACCAGGCCTGGATCAGATCCCCTCAGACAAGTATTCAACATCCTCAAGCAAATACCCTCAAGCAAATACCCTCCCTGTCTCCGTTTTAGCCAGACAGCTGAGGCCTGCACTGGGAGCCCGTACTAACCAGTCAGTTTGTGAGCTACAGCACCCCAACACACTTAAGGGAGAGAGGCTCCTCTCTGTGCCTGGGCAGTGAGATACAAACAAGGAATCTGGTCGTCGCACGTTCCTTGGAGAACTTGAGGACGATTGCTAACAACAGGAGACCACTTGGCCCATCTAGCTCATTTGATTACTAGTAGCAAAGAGATCCACTTATCCCATCCAGCTGTTTCTTGAAAGAATCATCTTGTCGTCGTGGCTGGGTAGCTTGTTCCACATCCCTTTGTGAAAAACAGTCATTTATTCTTAAATTTAAATGTAATATTAGTATAAAAATTGACTCGCCATATACAGTGGATCTGCGACCCGCTGTTTGTACTGTTGCACGCCGTTACGATTTTGGCAGGGAATCCCTGGTGAAGGCTCACAGAGATAGTCGAGCTAAAAATGAAGCCTCCACCCCCGAGCAAACATGCTGCAGAAGCCACATGTGGTGTGTCGGGCTCGGTGCAGATGGGCAACGGAGAAGTTGTTTTGTCACTGTTGTTAGGGTCCCCAGCCACTGATTACTGGCGTGATGAAGGCTGAGCCCTGGGGAAGGTGCAGGGTAAAGAGCCCATTATGGAGCTCTGCAAACAGGTATTGTTTAGTGCGTCTTAATTGGTGTGTGCCAGTGAGAGCTCTCTTTCTGAGGGGTGTGGGCGCAGGGCACCCCAGGGTGACGGTGCGCCAAGTTGAAGGGCTGCAGATCAGCCACAACAACACATCGGGCTGCCAGACGCAACATGACAAAGCAGATATCTGCTTTTCAAACATCATTACTGAAATAGGATTGGCTGTTTTCATGCAATGAACGCTAGCTCTCTTTTAATTTAATTTAGCAAAAATGCATTGTGGCATTCGGCACTTAAGCAAATAATTTGATAGACTGGTCCGTTGGGCTCCCCGACTCTGGCCGGTGGACAGGTTAGTTTTTCCCTGGACTGTCGCGCCTTTTGTTTTCTAGCCTGCTGACCTGCTAGCTCTTCAAGTGAATTATTTCATTAGATAGGATAAGATCACTTCATTGGCCATATACAGTTTGTCTCCAGGAATTTGTCTTTTTGCAGACCCCAGCTTGCTCTCCATGAGACACACAGACAGGGAGAGAAGCTGGGGGTCAGAGCGCAGGGTCAGCCATTGTACAGCGCCCCTGGAGCAGCTGGGGTTCAGGGCCTTGCTCAGGGGCCCAATGGAGTAGGATTCCTCTGCTGGACATGGGATTTGAACCGGCAACCTTCCAGCCACAGGTGCAGATCTGTAGCCATAGAGCCACCGCTCCGCCCCTAATTAGGGCCTTTTCCCCTTTCACATTCACTCTGTTACCGTCGTTGAACAGTGGGTTATCTTCGGGCTTCTCTAGGAGTCTCCAGTCTCTTGCGCCTGGGTTCTGACCCATCATATCTGCAGTGAATGCTGTGGGGTAATGTGAATTATATGGATATAACAATGGGGTAAATTATATGAATATGGGGTAATATGGACGAACTGTACGAAACTGCAAAGTGGAAAAGGAAATTGGCATCAGTTAATGGTGTATATGGAAATAACCATTGACCTTCTCAACGAGAAATAGATTTTTCTGGATTCCATTTTTCACTCTCCCAGTGGCTCGTACTGCAGATTTTCTCTCACCCCTTTCTGACTTCCATTCCAACACAATTATCGCCCAGAGCACTAGACCTCTAGAAGCCCCGCAGTCATCATTTCAACTTTCTTGTTTTGCCAATGTGATGCAAGGGAGGCCGCGCCTTCCTGATCTTTATTTTTTCATTTAATTTTAATGTCAACAGTTTGCAGTGCGTTTAACTGGAATTAGATTTGTCTCTGCTCCCTGCCTGGGTGATTTAAGTGATCTAATCAGTCTGTTGGAAGAAACAGAAATATTTATAGATGTTTGGTTATAAAAACTAATGTCGTTGAGGAGCTTGTGGTCAGACACATTGGGACCTATGTTTTTTTTAGCTAATGTGGCAGAATGGCTTCACAAAAATTGTCTAAAGTGTGGGCTTTCAGAATGATAACCAGAGAACCCGATTTTGTCTTACACAGCATGTTATTTTATCATGTGATTAAAGAGCAGGGAAAATAATGTTGTAAGTTATCGTTCATTAAGTTATTTAAAGCCACTGTCAAACATCGTCCCTTTTTCAGAGTTTTAGATTTTAATTTTCCAGTTTTCAAGCATCTTTCTTTATAAACATGTATGGCTGCTTTATTTTGAGACGTCTGTGGGCAACAGAGGGAGAGGTGCTGAGGGACAACCTTGAGTACCGTTATATAAGATTGTGCATGGCCTCAGTGGTTCAATGCCTTTTTTCATAAAACTGGTAGAAGATGTTTTAATTGTATAAAATAAGATTAGGTCCTTGTGAACGGGGATTCAGAAGGAAAGCTTTCTGGGTGTCTGCTGGTTTGCATCGGAACATAAGACATTTACGAACGAGAGGACCTTATTCAACCCATCAGTCAGAATGAAAATGTCTGACTCATTTTGGGGAAAAAAAACCTCTTCTCCTTCAATTATGTCTAAAACAGTAGCTCTAATACAATGATTTTTAAATGAGGGCTATAGACATCGGCACATTTAACTTTGCGGTCATCGAGTCGATGTGATCTTTCATATCCATTCCATTTATAGGCATGGCTCCTGGTAATGTTTTTAAATGTATCTTTTCTGGATTTAGCTACATAAATAAGGAGTTGTTGGTTCCACCTTTAATGGAAGCCAGAGCTGTGTGTTGAGTAGCCTTGACTTGAAACCTTCATATAGGTGAAATAAGGGAAAATGTCGGTTGCCATGGCAAAGGACTTGCGCTGCATGTGAAACAGAGGCACAACAGCAATTTGCTGGAAAGATTATCGCTGCTTTTCAGAGCCCAAGCACACTTCAACAGGCAGGAACATTTACATATTTATGTGCACTGTTCATGAACCTGTTGGGACCCGTAAGAATTGCGTTGGGGATGGTAAGGTGCCCTTACACATCATCTGTGGGCCGACAGACTTGTTGCAAAGGAAAAAGTATAGGTTTATTCCATTGTGGAGCCCTCTTCAGGTGTGTTCTTCAGCATGGAATAAACCTTTACCTGTTCCTTTGCAGTCTACGCATGCTGACCCAGCTCCCTACTTGAACTTCTTTGACACACTTCTTTGTTATTCATGAGAATAGACCCTGGTGTCTATAACAGGCACTCTGGTTTGGATAAAAACTCACTGGGAAAGTCATTCAAATTATAATAAGCCCTTTGGGAAATCCAGAGAAGATGTTTGCTGGGTATCATCATTTTGATAGTTGAAGGATGTCCATTAAAAAGTTTTGAAAACCGCATCAGGGTTGCAACAAATTTTACTCTAAGCAGCACGGTTCTTTGAAATAGTGCAAGGTCCTGTTAAATTCTGGGAAATTCAAATGTTGCACAGTCATACAGAGCATTAAAAGTGATAGATAAACTGAGCAACCAGTACAGTGATTTGGTTCCTCGACCTCTCACCCTTTAAGGCTTTTCTTCCATTCCCAGTGCCATCCTGGAAAGGGAGCTGGATGCAATACACAGTGGTTCTTTTTTGACGTAAAAGAGATTTTCAGGTTCCGTTAGTTAGCGTTTAAGATGTGATAAGCATCACTCTTTCAGATTATTCAATCTGTTGGGATTTTGTTTCTTGGGTCTGAATTCGCAGGCCTCTCCTTCTGTCCTGCATAGTAAGCAGCACGTGCTGGCTCACTTCCCTCAACGCCGTTAATAAACAGACTGCCCTGGTCTTTATTTTAGAGTCAGTCTCTGCCGTGAAAGCAGGTTCATCCCACTTTGAGGTATTAAAGCTTGTTTTGTGTCAGCTGTTGAAAGGTGAAGAATCAATGTTTCACAACCAGTCCTCTTTTCTGTCTGCCAGTGAAGTTGCAAACAGCGGTTCATGACCATAAGCACTTGAGATAAGAACAGTCTGTTGGAGGAGAGAGCTAAGTTATATACATCCGCAGCCATTCAATAGGAATGCAATTATAAAAAAGAACAAAAGAGCACAATAGGATTAGAATTTGGTTTGAAAATGCACACTTTACATGTCAGTTAATACGATAAAATCTTTTTTCTTACGGGGCCAGATTAGTGAGCTGGGCTCGCTGCTCACCATTAACCAGCATTTGTCCCAGACAGCTAAAAGTTTTTTGCACTTGAAATGATCATTTTCAGAATTCATCTCCGATGTTTAACAATAAGGCAACTGCAGCTGAGTGAGGCGGCAGCCAACAGCGACATCATCTCTCACCAGGTTCATGTAATGGCAATTGTCTGTCTGCGTTGGACTTTCCAAGTCTTGGTACAAACAGTTAATATTATGATGTTTTTTCCGAAAGCGATCTGTCCATCTGTTTTGTCTTAGATCAACGGGAGCCCTGTCCGACCAAGGCAGAGGTCTTAAGTCCTGCTGTAGCTCTTCTCCCCATTCCCTATTGCTTATAAGAGGTGTATAATCAATCCTCTTGTGTACTGTAGACTTTAAAGACTCCCGAAGGCAACATGGAGACGACAGTGAGTGTTTATTTCAAGAACATCCTGTACGTCAGAAATTCTTTATCATAAGCAAGAGAGCTGTTAAAATACCATCTTGAGTGTGTTTTACATATATTTACATGCATGCCTCACCTAAATAAATCTTTCTATGGACCTTTTTTCTTCAAGATCTTTAGTTGAACAAATTCTGGATGCTAAAATTAGAACTCTGCATTGCTGGTCACTCAGCCATATCGTTCATCTTCAATATAAATGGCAAAGTACTATACAGTATGTAAAACTCACTATTGCTGAGTCAGGAAGTGTATCTCCATGAACAAGTTAGTCAAAGTTAGTCGAGTTAGTCAAAAGTAAAAAAAAAATAAATACATGTACATTTTTTTGCTGTCCCTGCAGGTTTTTTGTGGTATTGCTAGATCATTTTTATTTTCATTCTCAGCTACATCATGGCTGAGCTTCGGTGTGTGGTCGTCATTCTGGCCTCTCGGTGCCGCACTGCTACAGTGACATACAGAGACTGCTTTCCATGTCCTCGCTGTGAGCCTGCCAGAAGGGGCAGCACTAGGTACCTGCAGGGGGGGAACACAGTGTGGCCTCACTCAGTGGCTGGCCCTGGGAATCATCCCAGACCTGTCCTGCTGTCAATGTATCCCACTGCTTTGCCTCAGTCTGTGTAAAGCTGATGGACACACTGGCTCATCTGCACTGTCAGTCGGTGTTGGCCTCCAGTCGCCCCCATACCTAATCCCTAGCCTTCCGTTTAGGCACAAAACTGGATGAATTAGAAAAGACATAGAACCTGTTCTGTGTCCTGTTATCATTGTTCCTCTCTCTGCACCACTGTGTGAGCAAGGGATGCCTGGATAGTTCCAGGAAACTGGAAGCATTACCTAACGCTTGACGATGATGAGTATTTTGCTGATGCTTTTATCCAAACTGGTTTTCCTTTTGTGCCTATTTGTACAGTTGGGTGTTGTCTGAGTGCAGTACACTCCTAAAGGGTACAGTAGCAGTGCCCCTCCTAGGATCTGAGCTCATGATCTTCCAGGTCAAAGAAATAGTCGGGGAGGTGCTGACCAGCTACAGATTCAATGCTCAGATGCTGTGTCCACCCTTCCGTGGCTCACGGGACCTGTTTTTTCTGTAGGTCAAATCCCTGACGCTGTTTGTGACCCACTACCTTCCGCTGTGTGAACTGGAGAGGCTGTATCCTCAGCATGTGGGCAACTACCACATGGCCTTCCTCCTGAGCGATCAGGACGCAGAGAGTGACGGTATGGGGACCCTTCTTAAAATCTGCACAAAAAGCAAGGAGTACCAAATCTCCCCCAGAAGAATTGGTACCGCTGTCCTTCTGGGTACCACTGTCTTCAGACTGCGTTGTAACAACTATGGAAACAGCAGCTAAAATGATGAAGAAATAGATTCATTGTTGGTGGCTGTATTTCCATTTGAGACAATGTGCATAAAGCAATCGATTCTCTTAATAGTTCACCAGTCTTCATGACCAGATGGTTAGGTAACAACCCCACAAGGGGATTTCAGATCACTTTAGGGAACACAAAAAAGAACAGGTAAATAAAAAAGTACATTTAGCAAATAAACATAAGAAGAAACAATACATTTTAGATTGTAGGCAGAGATAGTAATACAACAGAATTATGTTGGTAGAAAAGCTAGATTATGAAAGTTTGGTTTCAGACCAGACTTACAAATACTTAATGAAGGCAAGTCAGGGAGAGAGGTAAAATGTCCAGACAGGATAAAACCTGTTTCCAGCTTTCATAAAGTAATGTCCTACACTGAAAGCACTGAACCCTTTTAGTCCTGAACATAAGAAAGTACATCACCTGATACAAGTTTTTTGGGATGAAGTCAATGCAATGGAATTCTTTTGGAAACATCTTAGTCTTAAATGCATGTCCACAGAGTTTCCCTGTGTGTCCTGTCGTTGCCTTCGCACTGGTGAAATGTCACGGGGTGTCTGTGCTTCCTCTGGATCCCTGCAGGTCCAAGCGAGGAGATGCAGCCCGAGTTCATCACTTTCCTCTATCAGCTGACTGAGGGGGCTGCAGCCAGGAGCTACGGCCTCAACGTGGCCAGACTGGCCAAGATCCCAAAGGACATCATCTGGAAAGCCCAGGAGAAGTCCAAGGAGCTAGAGGGGCTCGTAAATGCAAGGAGGTACGGCAATAAAAATCCTTCTTTTCCATACTTTGAGTGTCTAGTACTTCTGATTTGTTGCCCTCTCCCTGCCTTCCATTCTCACTCTCTCTGTACAGAAGCTCTAAGCTCTTGAAATCAGACCTCTGTTTCTCCACTGCTTCTGAGATTCTTTCACATCCGTAGTTCTGGACTTGCGGGGGGGCAGATGGGTGGGCTCAGGCCAGCCTGTGGAACAGAGGTGGGCAGTTCAGGTCTTGCAGGGTTGGTCTGTGTGTGGGTTTTCATTCCAGCTCATCTCTTCTCCAACTACGTGTGCCGCTTCTCTGAGCTCTTGAAGTGCAGCTGCTTCCAGGAGATTCAGAGAGTCTGTAAACACGCCGGCCCTCCAGGACCAGGACTGGACAGCCCTGCTACAGACACACTGACCGACCCCTCCAGGACCAGGACTGGACAGCCCTGCTGCAGACACACTGACCGACCCCTCCAGGACCAGGACTGGACAGCCCTG